CAGTAGCTGTCAATTAAAAGACGACCGCTGAACATGCTCAGGCTCGGGTGTTACTTATGTGTTGGGAGGGCGGATGCGAGTGAGCTAGACGGCTTGCGGGCGGGTGGGTAGCTTGACCTATCCCCCTTCCCCCCTCCCCTGGGCCTGCGAGGGGGGGGGGGCGCGAGGCACTAGGGCGCTCAAGATGGCCCAAGATGGCTCCAAAAGGGCCGCAGAAAGCGCAAGATGGCCTCCAAAATGGCTAAAGAGAGCTGAAGACAGAGGGGGCCCCGGTGATCCTGCGTTCTGGTGATCTGGCCCTCTAACCTGGTGATCCGGTGATCTGGTGACCTGCTGATCCGGCTGATCCGCTGACCTGGTGATCTGGTGATCCAATGATCTGGTGATCCCGTGATCCAACCCTTGATCCACTGAGCCGGTGATCCGGTGATTTGGTGATGCGGTGATCCGGTGATCTGGCGATCCGGTGACCAAATTATCCAATGATCCGCTGACCCGGTGATCCGGTGATCCGATGATCTGGTGATCCGGTGATCCAACCGTTGATCCACTGAGCCAGGGATCCAATGATTTGGTGATGTGGTGATCCGTTGATTCGGTGACCCGGTGATCCAATGATCCGTTGACCCGGTGATCTGGTGATCCGGTGATCTGGTGATCCGGTGACCCGGTGACCCTGAGACCCCGTGATCGGGTGACACGGTGATGTGGTGATCCGGTGATCCGGTGATGCGAAGATCCGGCCCTCTGACCCAATGATCTGGTGATCTGGTGAACCAATGATCCAAAAATCCGCTGACCCTGTGAGATCCGGTGATCCGGTGATCCGGTGACCCGGTGATCCGTTGATCCAATGACCAGGTGATCTGGTGATCCGCCGACCCCATCGGATCATCGCGATGATCCAGCTGATCCGGTGATCTGGCTGATCCAGTGATCTGGCCAGCTGATCCATTGACCCGGTGATTCGGTGACCCGGTGTTTTGTGGCCAACTGATCTGGTGATCCGGCTGGTCTGGCTGATGAGATGATCTGGTCGACTGATTCGGTGATCCGGTGACCCAATGGTCCGGTAACCCGGTGATCTGGTGATCCGGTGATCAATCTTTTTATTTTGTATATTCTTATTTTTGTTCATTCTTATGGTCTTACACTGTCTGAATCTTAGACTTACTATTGTAATTCTCATTTGTATGCTTATAATGATCTGTATTAGTCGTATTATTGTTCTTATTCTTATTATCATTATCGTTAGTATTCTTATTCTTGCTATTCATATTCTTACTCTGTTATTACCTTCAATATTACCATAATTCTTTTTTTTCTATTTTCTCAATATTATGCTTATTCATTCTTATGGCTATTATCATTCGCGTCCTAATTCTTTCCTTTAAATATTATCATGATTATCATTATTATTCTTATTGTTCTGAATCTGATGATCATTCAAATTTCTATTCGCAGTGCTATCATTTCTTTTCTTGTGTGTATCATTATTAGCATTCTTATTCTCAGTCTTGATCTTAGTATTATTAGGGTTCGTTTATTCTTATGGTGCTACTTTTTATTATCATTCTTACTCTTATATTACTAACCAAATTCTTGATCTTACTATCATAGGTATGCTAATTTCTCTTAATAGTTGTGCTCGTATTTCAATTGTCATTCTCATTTATCTTCTTCTTATTCCTGTCTTTTTTTACTACTATTTCGGATATTATCATTAACCGCATCCTTACTTTGATTATTATTAATCGCTGTAGTCTGATATTGATTAGTGATCCTTTGCAGATTCTTGTTCTTATCCATATTCTCAGCATGATTATCAGTAGCTTATCTCTTCTGATTTCTACTCGTATTAGTATTATGAATATTCGTATTCGTATTATGATTATCACTCTTTGTTCGGTCCTTATTAAAGGAAGTGTTAGTACCATTACTATTATTCAGACACTTAATATTCTTATTATCATTAAACTTTATTGATATTCTCATTCTCAATTCTCCTCATTATCATTATTAAGGTTTCTAGTTTTTTCTTATGAAGAACCTGATTCGCATACTCACTATGATTATTTGTCGTATTCTTATTCTTACGATTATTCTCATTCTTACTATCATTTCTTTCTTCTTCCTCTTCATCTTACTATCATTCTCATTCAGTGATCTGATGATCCAATGATCCAGCTTTCTGACCCAATGATGGGGTGATCCGCTGATCCGGTGACCCAATGATCCAGCGATCCAGTGATGCGGTGACCCGGTGATCCAGTGATCCGGTGACCCGGTGATCCGGTGATCCGGTGACCCGGTGATCCATTGATACCTGGTGATCTGCTGACCCGCGGGTCAGCGGGTCACTGGATTATCGCGATGATCCAGCTGATCCGGTGATCTGGCTGATCCGGTGATCTGGCGAGCTGATCTGGTGACCCGGTGATCCAGTGACCCGGTGTTGTGGCCAGCTGATCCGGTGATCCAGCTGATTCGGTGATCCGGCCAACTGATCTGGCGATCCAGTGACCTGGTATTGGGCCAACTTCTCCGATGATCCGGCTGATCCGGTGATCCTCTTATTGATCCGATCCCGGCCAACTGATCTGGGGATCCGGCCGATCTGGGGATCCGGTGATCCGGCTGATCCGATGATCTGGTGATCCGGCTGATCTTGTGATCCGATCCGCTGATCTGGTGATCCGGTGTTGTAGCCAATTGATCAGGTGACCCTTTGTTGCAGCCAGCTGATCTGAATGATCCGGCTGATCCAATGATCCAACCAATATCTTGCCATCTGGTGATCCGGTGATGCGGTGATGTGACCAGCTGGTCCGGTGATCCTTTGTTTGATCCGGTCAGCTGATCCAGTGATCCGGCTGCTCCTGCGATCCGGCCGGCTGATCCAATGATCGGGCTGATCCGGTGTTCTGGCCAACGGAGCTGGTGATCTGGTGATCTGATTGACCCATCTGCAGCCGAGTGGATCGCTGATCCGGTGATCCGGCCAACTGATTCAAAGATCCGGTGAGCTGGCTTGATCCAGTGATCCGGCTGATCCGGTGATCCGATCCGCTGATGCGGTGATCTGGTGTTGTAGCCAATTGATCTGGTGATCCGGTGATCCCGTGTTGCGGCCAACTGATCCGGCGATTCGGCTGATCCGGTGGTCTGGCCAGCCAGCTCTGTGATCCGGGGATCAGGTGTGGCCATCTGATCTAGTGATCTGGTGATCTGGCTGATCCGGTGATCCGGCTGATCCGGTGATCCGGCCAACTGATCTGGCGATCCGGTGATCCGGTGTTGTGGCCAACTGATCTGGTGATCCCGCTGATCTGGTCAGCTGATCCGGCTGATCTGGCTGATCTGGCGATCCAGCCGGCTGATCCAATGATCCGGCTGATCCGGTGACTGGTGTTCTGGCCAGCGGATCCAATGATCCGGGTGATCTGGTTGACCCGGTTGAGTGGATCGCTGATCCGGTGATCTGGCGATCCAATGAAAAAACCTCTAGTCCGGGTGCTTCTAGATAACCTCCCTCATACATCGAAGACGGCCCAAGAGGCCCCAAGATGGTTTCGAGTGCCCTCCGGGCCCTCCAAGGACCCCCCCAAGAGGCACACATGGCTCCCAAACCTTACCCAATCAGAGATTTTTGCGTTCTGGTCTTTTCGCTTCTGATGGGCCTCCGAACCCTCAAGATGGCCCCAAGACGACCCGAGAGAGCCCCAAGAGGGGCCCAAGAGGGCCCTAAGAGGGCCCCAAGAGCGCCCAAGAGCAGCCCAAGAGCGCCCCAATAATGCCCTTAAAGGCAATTTCTGAGCCTCCGATGGGTGGGACCTGAATTGAGGACCGGGGGCCAATACAGCCCCAAGAGGCCTCTCAGACCCGCCCAAGAGGCCCAAAGAGGGCCCCAAGATGGCCTCAAAAGAACCCCAAGAGGGCCCCAAGAGGGACAACGCTTCAACTCGCCTGGCAAACTGTTTCTGAATGCGCTGGTGGGGTTTCGCGACACGTCAAGAATGTTCGCGTTCTCGCCGCGCGCTTCCGACAGCTGAAGACGGCCCAAGGAGCCTCCAAGATGGCCCCACGGTCCCACGATGGCCCCGCAAACCTCCCAAATGGTCCTAAAGCGCCGTCCATGACAGCCCAGAGGGGCCCCCAATAGAGCTTCCGAAGGCTCAAATGCTCCCAAGATGCCCCCAGGGGGGCTCCCAAGAGGCCCCCGAGAGGCCGCCAAGAGGAACCCGATATGCCCCCAGAGCTCGGTAAAACCTAAAAGGCACCCAGAAGGCCGCCAAGACGCGCCCAAGGGACCCGCAAGAGCCCCCGACAGGCCACCAGAAGCCCCCAAAGAAGTCCCCAAGACCCCCAAGAGGCCTCCTTTTCCTCCTTCACATCCTCCTCCACCTCCTCCTCCTCCACCTCCTCCTGCTCCCTCCTCCTCCCGTACATGTTCCCCCAATGTTCTCCACAACGGCTGGAGGAACATGTAGACCAATAGTTTGGCAAGGCTTCGGCTCGACATCTGGCCCCATAAGCGTTTCCAAAAGGCAAAGGGCGGCGATGGTTCGCCGTAGGCGTCTTCGAAACGACAAAGAAGGGAGATCCATTAGGTGAGACTTCGTCGAGTATCCATCCTTGCCTGATATTTAGTTTGACCACCCCGCCCCAGTCCTCGCCACGCGCCCACAAGGAAGTCTACCACTGAGCAAACCAGGACGACACTGAAGTAGTAAGGTAAACACATACTGCATCTGAAGATACCTGGAGAGGAACAACTTCCCAACATGTTTGAGGGATGTGGCAGACGGGAACCACTTTTTCACAACCGGGCACTGCATGTCCTAGCTGCTTTGCTGCCGGAAACTCGATCTTCTAGCTGTCCAGTTGTCTTACGACACAGCCTGCTAAACACCAGGGTTGCAGCTGTGCGATAATCAGGGCATCATGCCGAAAATGCGCAACACTCCACATTCTGGCCTAAACCTGACAGTGGTGGGTGTGTTCTGATCATTATTGGACACTTCGTGGTCGTGGAATGGAAAATCAGTGGCCCATGTCTTATTACATGAAGACGTGTCGTCTGTGGGCCAAGAACTCACAACTGAATTCGCTCTCCAGCTGGCTGCCGTGACGGCGGCAACCTGAACTACACGTTCTGCGACCCGCGAAGGCTGCCAGAGTTTGAAGGCGCCCCTGTGGCTCGCCCCCGTGCGGACTTCTCGGCCTCGCTGCGCGCAGCAATACCTCGGTCGATCGATGCGATGGCACTGGCGACGCGCTCGAGCGCCTCGGCGCCAGCCGCTGCTAGCCGCCCTGCAAGCCTCGACTGTTGGCCGCCCTCGTTGCCGCTTCGTCGCCGTAGCCGCTCGGCCTGCGTATCGGCAAGCACACCGCCGAAGCGGATGCCTACTCGAGCCAGCGCGGTGCTGCGAGCAGCGGCCTCGCGAGCGAGGGAGAGCACGTCGCCTCCACGGGCAGCTCCTGCCCCGGCAGAGCTGCTGCCTCCGGCGCGGCTGGCGAGGTCGGCGAGAATGCGCACGTTCTGCAGCCGCTTCGTGTCGCGCGCGTCCAGATCCTGCAGCTCGAGCGTGGCCTGCAGCAGCTCAAAGGGCAGCGTGGCTGGCGCGATTAGCGATGCAAGCTCTCGGGGTGGAGCTGGGAGAGGAAACGCCAGAGAACGGAGCGGCGCAATCCTGGAAGCAACAGCGTCTCGCAGGGTCGCGTCGAGCGCAACAGCGGCCTCGCGCAGCAGCAGGGACTGGACATCCGCCACCGTGCCCCCTGGCACGTTGAGGCTTGCTAGAATGCTAAGTGCTGTCTGTTAGGGTTTTTGTAATCTTCTAAGAGCCCCCCCCTCTCCCCGCCGCACCTCGCCGCGCGCACCTGCCATGCTCCCGGGGTGTCCCTGGGCGGCCATGGCGCCTCCCTGGGGCTCTCCAAGGCTTCCATAACGGCCCAGGAGGCCCCCAAGACGGTCCAAGAGGGCCCTGAGTCGCCGAACGATCGCTCGAAGGCGCCCAAGATGGCCTCAAGATGGCGCAAGAGGCTTGCAAGGCGCCCCAAGAGGCCTCCAACAGGTCTCCTAAGAAGGCCCCCAAAGGCAAACATACTTTGTTTTCTCTACGTTCTTCAAAAAGATTTCGGCGTTCTCGCCTTTTCAGCTTTCCGACGCTCCAAGACGGCCCAAGGAGCACCCAAGACCACCCCAAAACGGCCCAAGAGGCCTCCAAGAGGGCCTCAAGACGGCCTAAGAGCGACCCAAGACGGCCCAAGAGGTGCCGCAGACGACATAAGGGTGCCCTAAGACGGTCCCAAGAGGGGCCCCAGAGAGGAATACGAACCGAAAATCCGAGCCTTTCGCCCCAAGGGGATCCCAGGAGGCCCCAAGACTCGCCTAAGAGGCCCCCAAGAGGTCCCAAGAGGCCCCCAAGAGGCCCTCCAAAACGGCTCCCAAGAGGCCTCAGAACTGCTTCCACGAGGCCCTCCGAGAGGCCTCCCACGAGATTCCGACGAACATCCACAAGGCTTATAACCCACAACCCAGGCACGGTGGCGGGACTTGCCGTAGGCAGCTGGATAATTGCCCTCTTCACTCAACACGACTGCCGCCAGCTGTGCGGCAGCAGCGTTGCGCCCCTCGTCGCTCATACCACGGCTGCTCTCCACGGAGGAGGTCGACGACGTGTACTTCTCGAGGCCAGCAGTAACCTCTTGCAGCTTCGCCAGATTGAGCTCGTCACCCGTGCCGTAGAGCAGGGTGCGTAGCGCACCACGAGCGCGAGGCGAGTCATCGGAGAGGAGGCGTTTTGCAAGGTAGGGGAAGCACTCAGACAAGATGGCATAGTTTGGGTTTACGCTGAGGCCAATACCCTCGAGCGTCGCAAAAGCACGCGCCATGTAGACAAAGTAATCAGGAATCGCAAAAACATCTGAGTTGTCCTGTTGCATCTGCTCAATCTTCTGTGTGAGGTCCGATGTCGTCGAGGTCCCGCTGCCTGAGCGCTTGAGAGCATCTTTCGCCATCTCTCTCTGCCAATCCTCTCTGAACCGACGCTGTCTCTCTTGCGTCGACAATTCGGAGCCATCGGCAGCCCGATACTTAGCCTTGTTCTTCGCCACCAACCTCTCCATGGCGCCTTTGGGCCCACCACCTGTGGTTGCAATCTCAAGCATTTGCGTTATTCCATACGTGAGCCCTGAAGAGCGCAGCTCATCAAGTTTGTCCTCCGGTACGAAGCCTAGCTTCACCAAGTCTTCGGGGACGCGCTCGTAGTTCTGCGCCTGCAGGTCTGCGATGAACTCGAGCAGCGACAGCTGCAAGTCCCGCGGCACCTCCAGGCACATCCCAAAGTCCAGGATGCAAAGTCGGCCGTCACGCGTGCGCAGCAGATTGCCAGGGTGCGGATCACAGTGCAGCTTCCCGGTGTCCAGCAACATCGTCAGATATGCGTTGAGTGCTACCCCGCAGAGCCGAGGCACGTCGTCAGCGCCAGAGGCAGCGAGCCTCTCGCCGTCGACCCACTTGGTGGTGAGCACGTGTGCAGAACTGAGGGACGGCACAACCTCAGGAGCGATGACAGATCCGAGGCCCCGCTGCCGCATTGCCTCTGAGAATGCCGTAGTTGCGGCTGCCTCCTTCCGGTAGTCGAGCTCCTCGATGAAGCCGGCACCCCAGGCATCGACCAGCCCGACGAGGTCTGTGTTGACCTCCTTGTTGGCATCGAGGTAAAGAGGTATCAATAACTCACGTATCAAACCCGCCACCGTGCCCCCTGGCACGTCGAGGCGTGCTAGAATGCCAAGTGCTGTCTGGTAAGGTTTTTGAAGCCTTCTGAAGGACCTCCCCCCTCTGGGCCGCACCTCGTCGCGTGCACTGGCCATGCTCCCGGGTTGTCCCTGGGCGGCCATGGCGCCTCCCTGGGGCTCTCCAAGGCTTCCATGACGGCCCAGGAGGCCCCCAAGACGGTCCAAGAGGGCCCTGAGTCGCCGAACGATCGCTAGAAGGCGCCCCAGATGGCCTCAAGATGGCGCAAGAGGCGCCCCAAGAGGCCTTCAAGCGGTCTCCTGAGACCGCACCCAAAATGACAAATCATTGATTTTCCTTATGTTTTTGAGCGATTTGGGCGTTCTCGCCTTTTTCGGCTTTTCGACGCTCCAAGACGACGGCCCAAGAGGCCCTCAAGATCACCCCAAAACGGCCCAAGAGGCCTCCAAGAGGGGCCCGAGATGGCCTAAGAGCGCCCCAAGACGGCCGGCCCAAGAGGCGCCGAAGACGGCCCAAGATGACCCCAAGACGGTCTTAAAAGGGGCCCGAGAGAGGGAACGCGAACCGAACATCGGAGCCTTTCGCCCCAAGGGGCCCCCAGGAGGCCCCAAGACTCGCCCCAGAGGCCCCAAGAGGCTCCCAAGAGGCCTCAGGAGGCCCCCAAAACGGCCCCCAAGAGGCCCCAGACGGCCGCCAAGAGGCTTCAACACTGCCTCCAAGATGGCCCCGAGAGACCTCCCACGAGATTCCAACGAGCATACACTAGGCTTATAACCCACAACAACCCAAGCACGGCGGCGGGACTTGCCGTAGGCAGCTGGATAAATGTCCAATGAAACATTGTAAAGCACGCCAGGGCGCTGCACCTTGATTGCCAACTCCTCGCCTGTACTGCGCAAAACAGCTTTGTACACCTGACCGATCGATGCTGATGCGACTGGATCGGATGAGATATCGGAGAAGGTTTCCTCGATCGAGATGCCCAACTCTTCCTCGATGATTGCACGGCCCACTGCTCCCGAAAAAGGCGGGACAGCGTCTTGGAGCTTAGCGAGCCCCGCCACGTAGGGAGCGGGGAGTAGGTCAGTTCGAATGCTTAGCGCCTGACCGACTTTGATGAACGAAGGGCCGAGATTTGTTATAACCTCGAGCAGCTGTTGCGAACGCTCCTGGACCACACTGTCCGACCTATTTAAGATGTTGTCAGCCAGCGTGTTAGACACAAAGCCGCCGCTCAGCTGCATCAGCTGCGCAAGACGAGTTGCTGTCTCAAGTGGTCGCTGGCGGAAGAATAAGTTGGCTGCAACTGGATCATAAGCAGCCTCCGTGTAGGGCACGTCTACGCCGTAGCCACTCTTGGTAGACAAGCCTTTGACTGTCACATCGCGGCGCAGCCGCTTTGTGCGCCGAACTGCAGCGGTTGAAACAGGTCGAAACAGGTGTGAAAAACCAATCTCGCATGTCACTAAGTAGTGCAGAAGCCATGCCAAGGCAAGGATGCGCCTCATCTGGTTAAACAACTTTAATCTGTCATGATGATTGCAACAAGCAGCTGAACAATATGGCTAACCTTTGACATGCATATACGTACATGTCTCTCCTGTCTTGGGCTAATTTCGTCTGGTGTGTTTCAGGTCCTCGTTTACAGCTCTGGCATGTCAGAGCCTCTTGGAGAATTCTCGGCGCCATCTCGAGGGGGTCTTGGGCCGTCTTAGGCGACTCCTGGGATCCTCCGAGGCAATCTTGGTAGCCTCTTGGCGCCCTCTTAGGTTATATTGATGCTATGTACTGGGGGCCTCTTGGACCGAAGAAGCCGCCAACTTGGCCGAACCAAAAACGTGTCAATGGCACTTGAAGAACTGGCCCGTGAGGTCTCACACTACTGCTCGTACTGAGAGCCTTGGCGTTCCATGCTCTTTACGTCGTCGTTCGTGCTGATAGCCTTGGAACTCACAGCTCTTCCCGTCGCCGTTCGCACTAGGAGCCTTGGCGT